TGTGTTGATCTACTCTGTCAAGGTCAATGTTCAACGCTTCGTGTCCATGTATTGCTGGCCTTCAAATCCGTTGCCTTGGCAACAGAATCTTGCACTAACGCCGTTACTATAGACGAGGGAAGTGTTATCAAATGTCCATATTTAAGCATATATAGTGTCAATATGCAAGAAACTACGGATGTAACGAACTGAAATAATATCCGTAGTTTGTTTTACACATTTCAACTTCACAATATCAGGGAGAATAGAAGACGCTGTAGATTATCACTGACAATATGCAGCAGGTGGCCGGGACAAAGGAAATGGTTCGTTATATCAGTCAGTTCGTTATATGCGCTTTAATATATGTCTTTTAATATCTTTATTATACTTCGTTATGATATGATCGTTATAGTTCGTGCGTACTACGCATTTAGATTAGACCAAGAAGTAAGTGCCTGGCACCCCCAAACAGTTCGTTATATATGTCTGTTCGTTATAAACGTAGTATACTTTATACAGCTGTCCTACCTTCAGAAGACGTACTGGTTATCTAAAGTATATAAAGTCTTTGAAGGGATAGGGGATCAAGATGACACAGTGGTGTGTGAGAGTGACGGTTTGAACAGGTGCCCGGTGTGTCTGGAGGCAGGTTGATCACTGAACTATATCACGGCACAACCTCCAGCAATGGACGACAGTCGAGTAGAACCAACTAGCTGGTGGTAGTGCCGGAGACACAGTGGTGTGTGAGAGTGACGGTAGGAACAGGTGTGCAGGTTAATCACTGTACTATATCACGGCAATATCTCCAGCAATGGACGACAGTCGAGGAGAACCAAATAGTCAGCGTGACAACAGATCTGTAACTTATCTGTAAACGATATGATGCTGATGTATGTGTGTTTTTACACGTGGCAAGTGGATCGCAAGACAGGATTGTGTGGGAATGTCAGCTGTGTATCGTCGGTCTGTAACAGAGAAACAAATGTAGTGTAGAGATAATGGCGGCACACGTGCATACCGACTGTGCTCTTCATCAAGAAGAATGTCCGCTAAACTGTCCTGTCAGGAACAGTAGGGTAGTGAGTCGTTATGTAATAGGTTGCTCTGTTTGGCGTAATCGAAGGTCACATATTACTGCCTGTGTGTAGGAACACCTGTCTACTTTGTTATCTGGTGCAATATTTTAGTTGGGTGTTTATAGTAATGGTCTTTTTTGTGAAACGAAAAAATCTGCAATCTTTTAAGCTTTCTACGTTCTGCACGATGGGACCTGGGCTTTGACGGAGATACGTTCTGACTTAACAGAGACAACTTTCTGTAATTTGTGACAAAACTGTGGGGAACGATGTCAGCAGGCTACATTAGATTCTTTTCCTAAAACAACTCGCATTGTTAAATTTATCGCTGCTTGTGATGAGTTACCTGCACTGTTCTCCAGATATGCCACGCACCTAGGTCGCCTTTGCGCTCGTATTACGTTCATTTACCAAAACGAAACAGCATATGGAACCGACAACATGATATTAGGCAAAAACAATATGCTCCAGAAAAAGATACTATTCTCTGTTTTTACCCAAAATATAATGTTTGCTGGGTGTCCTAGAAAGATGGGAGTACTTTGTTGTTATGGGCGCCGTCCTCCGGATGTAGCAACGCATGGTGTCCAGCAGTGATCCATTATAATTACCACAACTCACATCGACCTACAAAACTCACATATATCGGAAAGATTTGCGCCCCCGTTTTTAAAAATAATGTTATGCCTAAGAATAGATTTATTTTTTTACGCTCACCCTAACCCTGAGATTACTTACCCTTTATTTTCATTTTCACTACAACAGCCATTTACAATCTGACATTTGAAGTGGGGGTTACGGGCAGAACTCCTACCCATAGATCTACATAACTCACACAAACCTAAAACATTTACATTGACCTACATAACTCATAAAGACCTACACAACTCACATCGACATGCATAATACACACTTACATTCATAACTCACATCGACCTACATAACTCACATCAACATACATAACTCACATCGACATACATAGCTCACATCAACATACATTGATAAGTCACTACTTCAAATTGACCTGCAGAACTCACATCAACATACATTGACCTACAGAACTCACATCAACATACATTGACCTACAGAACTCACATCAACATACATTGACCTACAGAACTCACATCAACATACATTGACCTACAGAACTCACATCAACATACATTGACCTACAGAACTCACATCAACATACATTGACCTACAGAACTCACATTGACCGACAGAACTCACATCAACATACATTGACCTACAGAACTCACACCAACATACATTGACCTACAGAACTCACATCAACATACATTGACCTACAGAACTCACATTGACCTACAGAACTCACATTGACCGACAGAACTCACATCAACATACATTGACCTACAGAACTCACATCAACATACATTGACCTACAGAACTCACATCAACATACATTGACCTACAGAACTCACATCAACATACATTGACCGACAGAACTCACATCAACATACATTGACCTACAGAACTCACATCAACATACATTGACCTACAGAACTCACATTGACCGACAGAACTCACATCAACATACATTGACCTACAGAACTCACACCAACATACATTGACCTACAGAACTCACATCAACATACATTGACCTACAGAACTCACATTGACCTACAGAACTCACATTGACCTACAGAACTCACATCAACATACATTGACCTACAGAACTCACATCAACATACATTGACCTACAGAACTCACATCAACATACATTGACCTACAGAACTCACATTGACCTACAGAACTCACATCAACATACATTGACCTACAGAACTCACATCAACATACATTGACCTACAGAACGCACATTGACCGACAGAACTCACATCAACATACATTGACCTACAGAACTCACATCAACATACATTGACCTACAGAACTCACATTGACCGACAGAACTCACATCAACATACATTGACCTACAGAACTCACATTGACCTACATAACTCACATCAACATACATTGACCTACAGAACTCACATCAACATACATTGACCTACAGAACTCACATTGACCTACAGAACTCACATCAACATACATTGACCTACAGAACTCACATTGACCTACAGAACTCACATCAACATACATTGACCTACAGAACTCACATCAACATACATTGACCTACAGAACTCACATTGACCTACAAAACGCGCATTGACCTACATAACTCATATACATAAATCATGCTACCATACATAATCCAAAAGCTCAATATTAACTTGGTATATTAAGAAATAGTTTCAGAACATGGGCCAACTTATTCCTCCTCTGACATGCTGTATACTGTGGCTGCCTGTCACATCTCGAGATGAGAGCCCCGACCAGGCGTCAGTGGTGTCAGAGACTGTACAACTGACACTGAAACAACACAACGGGGAGACACTATGCAGACACGCGTTTATCTTCAGTGCAACCACACAATAGTATACCCAGACACAACGCAACCCACAGTGACCGGGTAAGAAGCAGATCAGACACAGAACGACTAACCACAAGGAAATCACTAGTGTGCCATACAGACCCTGATACAAATATATCCAAGAAAGACCATGCATCTCTAGAATATGTGAAAATGAAGAAAGTCCCAGGGCTCCTTTTCATTATATTTTTATCATGAACTGTTTTATCTGTAAGATATGTTCATTTCAGAGACTAGTTGTTAGTCTAGGGCGTCACTCACCCTGTTACATCTTCACTAACTGGAACATATATACCTCATACGGCCCACGCAAGTCTAGAATAGGTGGCAAGTCTAGATTTCCACAGTTTCAGGAAAATGAAGAAAACGTCTGGGCTCCTTTTAATTCTATCTTATCAATATACTTTAGGAACCATTTTTGGTAAAATGTGTTGAGATGTTCAGGATGGTTCATAGATGTTGGTCTGCCTCTTCACCTGTAGCGTTAGTCCACGTGGGTAACGGACAGAGCCAAGGTCGGTGCAGGCTTCGCCATCGTCGTCTCCACCCTCAGGTGGAGTTACTTCACATGCAGCAGTTGGCTCAGCTGTTCAGCAAGATCCGATTAATGCTAAATAACCAAGTCGGTCACGTTCCGGTTGTCCCTGCACAGACCACAAGGCATGAACCAGCAGACAGCTCCAACTTGGGGTGCAGAGCGAAACACCGAGGTATTACCTTCAGAAGAGGGTATCTATTGCTTCTACTGTCGACCCTGTGAAGGAAGTAACTTCACTGCTCCAAGGGTAGAGCGCTGGTCGGACTGTAGTATGGGTGCTGTTGGATGTGAGTGTAGTGTTGGGGAGGTGCTGTTGGGTGAATGAATGAGTGAATTTAGTTTTACATCGCACTCAGTCTGTAAATATTCGAATCTGGACCAGACAATCCAGTGATCAACATCGTCATCTACACAACTGGGATACGATGACATGTGTCAACCAAGTCAGCGAGCCTGACCACCCCATCCTGTTAGTCGCCTCTTACAGGTGCTGTTGGATGTGGGACGGGGTGTAGTGCTGGGAAGGTGCTGTTGGATGTGGGTCGGGGTGTAGTGCTGGGAAGGTGCTGTTGGATGTGGGTCGGGGTGTAGTGCTGGGGAGGTGCTGTTGGATGTGGGTCGGGGTGTAGTGCTGGGAAGGTGCTGTTGGATGTGGGTCTGGGTGTAGTGCTGGGAAGGTGCTGTTGGATGTGGGTCGGGGTGTAGTGCTGGGGAAGGTGCTGTTAGATGTGGGACGGGGTGCTGTAGTGCTGGGGAGGTGCTGTTGGATGTGGGTCAGGGTGTAGTGCTGGGAAGGTGCTGTTGGATGTGGGTCGGGGTGTAGTGCTGGGAAGGTGCTGTTAGATGTGGGTCGGGGTGTAGTGCTGGGGAGGTGCTGTTGGATGTGGGACAGGGTGTAGTGCTGGGAGGTGTTGTTGGATGTGGGACAGGGTGTAGTGCTGGGGAGGTGCTGTTAGATGTGGGTCAGGGTGTAGTGCTGGGGAGGTGCTGTTGGATGTGGGTCGGGGGTGTAGTGCTGGGGAGGTGCTGTTGGATGTGGGTCAGGGTGTAGTGCTGGGAAGGTGCTGTTGGATGTGGGTCGGGGTGTAGTGCTGGGGAGGTGCTGTTGGATGTGGGACAGGGTGTAGTGCTGGGAGGTGTTGTTGGATGTGGGACAGGGTGTAGTGCTGGGAGGTGTTGTTAGATGTGGGACGGGGTGTAGTGCTGGGAAGGTGCTGTTAGATGTGGGTCGGGGTGTAGTGCTGGGGAGGTGCTGTTGGATGTGGGTCGGGGTGTAGTGCTGGGAAGGTGCTGTTGGATGTGGGTCAGGGGTGTAGTGCTGGGAGGTGCTGTTGGATGTGGGACAGGGTGTAGTGCTGGGAAGGTGCTGTTGGATGTGGGTCGGGGTGTAGTGCTGGGAAGGGTGCTGTTGGATGTGGGTCGGGGTGTAGTGCTGGGAAGGTGCTGTTGGATGTGGGACGGGGTGTAGTGCTTGGGAGGTGCTGTTGGATGTGGGTCGGGGTGTAGTGCTGGGGAGGTGCTGTTGGATGTGGGTCGGGGTGTAGTGCTGGGAGGTGCTGTTGGATGTGGGTCGGGGTGTAGTGCTGGGGAGGTGCTGTTGGATGTGGGACGGGGTGTAGTGCTGGGAGGTGCTGTTGGATGTGGGTCGGGGTGTAGTGCTGGGGAGGTGCTGTTGGATGTGGGTCGGGGTGTAGTGCTGAGGAGGTGCTGTTGGATGTGGGTCGGGGTGTAGTCTCAAGAGATTAAGTCGTTGTTCTATTCTGGGATTAACATTTACGAGGCAACCAGTGCGCTACTTATATGTAGGAAGTAACAGCTCAAATAAATTGTACAAGTTTATCGTTATTAGATGTTAGGTGAGTCTGTATTGCATATATAGTTTATTGGCGAAGCTGGTTAGATAGAGTGAATTAGTGCGGGCTTGGAATGACGGTCAGGTCACTGTGAGTGTACTGTGAGTGTACCTGTAGTGTGGGGCACCTTTCACGGGGGGATTTGGGGGAAGCCCTCGTGCAGCAAGAGAGGTAGAGATACAAGGAAAGCAGGAAACACTGGATGAGTGCTGACGCTATCCACCACAGATTTATACGTATTTAAAATGAATTAAAATTGATACATGTTTGCCATACCTATATACACTCTTCAAAAAAAAGAAAAAAAGAAACGCATATGTGTTTTCATTAGTTCGTTTAGATATATTTTGACAGCAATCGTCATTAAGAGAATTCCAACGTTTGGATCTCGTTAATCATGTGGTTGTGTGTTGCGCGCAAACGCCTCCCAAAATGTGTTATAAACGTTTGTCATAAAAAAATTAAAACGATACATGAAAAGTACATGCAGAAAACGTTCTCCACGTAATGCACGTGCAATGTGTTGGACACATGAGTGGAGCCATCAACTATAAAAGGCCAAACCAAATTCATCATTTCATTACGAAAGTAGATAAAAAATGCCAAGTTTGAATGCTACTGATCGAAATACGCCATTGGACGTTTGGAAGCAGGGGAGTCCCAGTCTGCCGTTACAAGACGCTTCATCGTCCATCACTGCACCATATCTCGATTATGACATCGATATACCCGCTTCAATTCGACCCAAGATCGTCCCAAAAGTGGAAGACCAAGAGTGGCCACACCTGCTCGAGACTGATTCATCCGGGCGTTTCACTTTCGTCCCCGATTTGCTACAGCAACGGACACTGCAGGTCAGGTGCCTGGTCTCCGAAGAATTTCCGACCAAACCATCAGAAATCGTCTGAAAGAAGTGTGAATTCGAGCATATCGACCAAAAGTTGGACCTGTCCTGACACATCTACACCGACAACGACGTGTCCAATGGTGCAAGAGGGTACAGGCATGGAACCTGGGGAACGCACGGAACGCGTTTGGTTCAGCGATGAATCGCGTTTAAGCGTTTAATCCTGCAACAACAGGATAGGAGACAACGTGTCTACCGACGTCAAGACGAACGTTTTGAGCCGAACTGCGTTCGACAGGTGGACAAATTTGGTGGAGAAAGCGTCATGGTGTGGGGTGCCATGTCTTACACGGGTACATCAGAGCTGGTGGTGGTTCAAGGCAATCTTACAGCAAATCGATAAATCGACCAAATCCTGCGACCTCACCTCCTCCCGCTTTTTAACCGCTTGAGGGAACTGTGTCAACACAACGTTCGACCTCACACAGGTCGTGTAACAGGTGCCTATCCCGCCAATGCAAACGTCAGTGTCCTTCCCTGGCCTCCCAAATCGCCTGAACTGAACCCGATCGAGAATCTCTGGGACGAACTTGATCGACGTGTCCGTAAACGTCACCTCAGACACTAGCAGAACTTGCCAACGCGTTGCAGGAGGAATGGCGAAGAATTCCCCAAGCAAACATCGGACGACTTCCAATCCCTTCCAAGGCGGTGTCGAGCAGTGACGGCTGCAAGGGGTGGTGTCACCAGGTACTGACCTGAACACCTCCTTATGTCCAGACACGTGCAGTGAATGAACTGAATTTATGCTGACAATGACAACAATATATATGTTCATCCGTGTGTTGAATTTCATTCATCTATGTTCAAGCTTAACCGACTTATGTACACTTTAACACATTTAATACATTTCCGTATTTTTGGCTTATGCGAAGTGTGTACTTCACATTGTCCTATGTTAATACTGACAAGTATCACCGTGCCTGAATACTTGATACACTGCCGCAAATCTATACTTATCTCTTTGACGTACTTTCTCTATTGACAGACTGCCTCACCTGGGGCGGTGGGGTAGTCTAGTGGTTAAAGCGTTGGCTCGTCACGCCGAAGACCCGGGTTCGAATCCCCACATGGGTACAATGAGTGAAGCCCATTTCTGGTGTCCCCCGCCTTGATATTGCTGGAATATTGCTTAAAGCGGCGTAAAACTAAACTCAGTCAGTCAGTCAGTACTGCCTCACCTACAAGCACGCATCCAAGATTGTGCGGATGTCTGTACTTTACTTATTGCCGTATGTACATACTTCATACATTATTCTTGTGGGCGTGATATAGTTCTTGAATACACTCTTTAGTCGTCCTCCACTGGATTAAGTTGACTCTAACGCACGTGTACGTTGACTGTTGCCACTGTTGTCGTATTGCGTCCACGTTGTGTTAAAATACCGCCCGTATATCAGCGAAGTCGGGTGTTGTGGTAGATATTCTTGAAGTGCTTTGTTCTTGAGAAATTCAAGAGTCAGGTTTGTTGACAGTTAATCTGAACATCCAGTGAAATGTTTATATAGTATTGCGAAGAAAGCAGCTTCTATCATGTGTTTACTTGAAGTTCTATAAACGTCTGTTTGCTATCAGTTTTTCCAAATGTGCACTTCACGGCTGCAGCTAGACGTTCCCTCGGTGAGTTAGAAGATCGGGTAAACACTCGGAACACACTTGCCATCTGACGTACTCCTCGGATGTTGGCCATCTTACACTGGAATGCTGGGATACATACTCCAGCAGGTGAAGGCTGCATGTCACTGGCGCAGGGATCTGAGTGAGTGAGTGAGTGAGTGAGTGAGTGAGTGAGAGAGTGAGTTTAGGTTTACGCCGCACTCAGCAATAGTCCAGCTGTATGGCGGCGGTCTGTAAATAATCGAGTCTGGGCCAGACAATCCAGTGATCAACAGCATGAGCATCGATCTGGGCAATTGGGAACCGATGACATGTGTCAACCAAGACAGCGAGCCTGACCACCCGATCCCGGTGGTCGCCTCTTACGACAAGTATGTGTTGCTGAAGATCAATATTCTAACCCGGACCTTCACGGGTACGCAGGGGTCTGTACCAGTGTATTGCTACTGGTGACTACTGAATGGATACTGGCGGCTGCTGTATGGCTGTTGTTGGTGGCTGCTTGCTGGTGGCTGCTGGTGGCTACTGATGGCTACTGATGGCTACTGGTGGCTACTGATGGCTGCTGATGGCTACTGGTGGCTACTGGTGGCTACTGATGGCTGCTGATGGCTACTGGTGGCTACTGGTGGCTACTGATGGCTACTGGTGGCTGCTGTATGGCTGCTGATGGCTGCTGGTGGCTGCTGGTGGCTGCTGGTGGCGACTGATGGCTACAGGTTACTACTGGTGGCTACTCGTGGCTGATGGTGATTACTGATGGCTACTGGTGGCTACTGGTGGCTACTGATGGCTACTGATGGCTGCTGGTGGCTACTGATGGCTACTGGTGGCTGCTGGTGGCTGCTGGTGGCTACTGATGGCTACTCGTGGCGACTGATGGCTGCTGGTGGCTACTGATGGCTGCTGGTGGCTACTGATGGCTACTGGTGGCTACTGATGGCTACTGTATGGCTGCTGATGGCTACTGATGGCTGCTGGTAGCTACTGGTGGCTACTGATGGCTACTGATGGCTGCTGTATGGCTGCTGATGGCTACTGATGGCTGCTGGTGGCTGCTGATGGCTGCTGATGGCTGGTGGCTGCTGATGGCTACTGGTGGCTACTGGTGGCTACTGGTGGCTACTGGTGGCTACTGATGGCTACTGGTGGCTACTGATGGCTACTGATGGCTGTTGTATGGCTGCTGTATGGCCACTGATGGCTGCTGTATGGCTACTTGTGGTTGCTGTATGGCCACTGATGGCTGCTGTTAGGCTGCTGTATGGCCACTGATGGCTGCTGTATGGCTACTGTATGGCTGCTGTATGGCTTGCTGTATGGCCACTGTGGCTGCTGTATGGCTGCTGTATGGCTGCTGTATGGCTACTGTATGGCTGCTGATGGCTGCTGTATGGCCACTGATGATGCTGCTGCTGTATGGCTACTGTATGGCGACTGATGGCCGCTGTATGGCCACTGATGGCCGCTGTATGGCTACTTGTGGTTGCTGTATGGCCACTGATGGCTGCTGTATGGCCACTGATGGCTGCTGTATGGCCACTGATGGCTACTGATGGCTGCTGTATGGCTGCTGTATGGCTACTTGTGGTTGCTGTATGGCCACTGATGGCCACTGATGGCTGCTGTATGGCCACTGATGGCTGCTGTATGGCTGCTGTATGGCTGCTGTATGGCGACTGATGGCTGCTGTATGGCCACTGATGGCCGCTGTATGGCTACTTGTGGTTGCTGTATGGCCACTGATGGCTGCTGTATGGCCACTGATGGCTGCTGTATGGCCACTGATGGCTACTGATGGCTGCTGTATGGCTGCTGTATGGCCACTGATGGCCACTGATGGCTGCTGTATGGCCACTGATGGCCACTGATGGCTGCTGTATGGCCACTGATGGCTGCTGTATGGCCACTGATGGCTGCTGTATGGCCACTGATGGCCACTGATGGCTGCTGTATGGCCACTGATGGCTGGCTATGGCTGTATGGCCACTGATGGCCACTGTATGGCCGCTGTATGGCTGCTTGATGGCCACTGATGGCCTGCTGGCTGGCTGTATGGCTACTTGGCGCTGGCTGCTGTATGGCTGCTGCATGGCTGCTGTATGGCTGCTGATGGCCGCTGTATGGCTGCTGTATGGCCACTGATGGCTGCTGTATGGCCACTGATGGCTGCTGTATGGCCACTGATGGCTACTGATGGCTGCTGTATGGCTGCTGTATGGCTACTTGTGGTTGCTGTATGGCCACTGATGGCTACTGATGGCTGCTGTATGGCTGCTGTATGGCTACTTGTGGTTGCTGTATGGCCACTGATGGCTACTGATGGCTGCTGTATGGCTGCTGATGGCTACTGATGGCTGCTGGTGGCTGCTGATGGCTGCTGGTGGCTACTGATGGCTACTGGTGGCTACTGGTGGCTACTGGTGGCTACTGATGGCTGCTGGTGGCTACTGATGGCTACTGATGGCTACTGATGGCTGTTGTATGGCTGCTGTATGGCCACTGATGGCTGCTGTATGGCTACTTGTGGTTGCTGTATGGCCACTGATGGCTGCTGTTAGGCTGCTGTATGGCCACTGATGGCTGCTGTATGGCTACTGTATGGCTGCTGTATGGCTGCTGTATGGCTACTGTATGGCCACTGATGGCTGCTGTATGGCTACTGTATGGCCACTGATGGCTGCTGTATGGCCACTGATGGCTGCTGTATGGCTGCTGTATGGCTGCTGTATGGCCACTGATGGCTGCTGTATGGCTACTGTATGGCCACTGATGGCTGCTGTATGGCCACTGATGGCTGCTGTATGGCTACTGATGGCTGCTGTATGGCTACTGATGGCTGCTGTATGGCCACTGATGGCTGCTGTATGGCTGCTGTATGGCTGCTGTATGGCTGCTGTATGGCTACTGTATGGCCACTGATGGCTGCTGTATGGCCACTGATGGCTGCTGTATGGCTACTGATGGCTGCTGTATGGCTACTGATGGCTGCTGTATGGCCACTGATGGCTGCTGTATGGCTGCTGTATGGCTGCTGTATGGTTGCTGTATGGCTGCTGTATGGCCACTGATGACTGCTGTATGGCCACTGATGGCTGCTGTATGGCCACTGATGGCTGCTGTATGGCCACTGATGGCTGCTGTATGGCCACTGATGGCTGCT